TTGGGGCTATTCGGTGCAGTTAGCAACCAGTTTGAAAGAAGTGATGGATAGGTTGGTTTATAGAAGACTTGTATGAAATTTAAAATCTTCATTCACTTTTTATAATCTCTAATTCGGTAGCAAAGTGCTAAGAGTTGTGTTTAGGAGGAAATTTGATGTGATTATTGGGACATCCCCCAGGGGAGAACCTGTTAACAATATGTATGTAAATACTTTGAATAATATGTGAGTTGTTTCACCTAATACATTCTAGTTTGCTACATGCTGCTTTATACTCTTCCATCACGAAACTCTTTTAGTAACGTTCTCCTGGTTTTTGGCGGTGTTGCTGGAGTTGACGCCGCATTGGAAGCAGAAGAAGCGCTTATGGAAACACGTGCTGAAGAAGCTTTCGATCGCCTAATCAACTCTCTTCCTCATAAAGGAAGCAATAGCGAACGCGTCGAAGAAAATGTTTTCATTACGCTTGCTGAAGTGACAATGCGATTGGAGCAATTGTTTTCCTCGTAATTTCTAGCTTCTTAGTAGTCAACTATAAATTTTTTAAATATTTGAGAACCTAAGTTATATGTATATAAAGAGGTAGTATTGATACTTCATCTTTTCTTACAATACACGTTCTACTTTAATGTGATCTTTTTTGAAACCTTCTGAGATTTCTCTTACTGAGAATGCTTGCAACAAATTTGTAAAAAAATTATTGTTCGTGTACTTATATCTCAGATTAAATGCTATTTTTATGGGCATTTGTTGCACTTGAGATTTCAGAGTTGAATATAATGTTTATGAGTATCGTTATCATTGTTGTTGTCTGTTCGTTGTTATGCATGATAAATAGCCTTATTATGTACACACATAACATCTGTGTGCATCGCCGGTCATCTCCTGATAGGATTATCTCCTGAAATCAGATTCAAAAACCACCACAACAAACTTCTTGTTCAGATTTCATTATGTTGTCTACTTTGTCAAGATTGGCTAGTGGGGCTGCTAGCTGCGCGATCACGAAAAGGAACTTGGCGGTAATTCGATTAAATCGCATTTTTTAAAAAATGAACATTGATAACCATTCTATATACATATATATGTATATATATATATATACATATGCATATATATGCATATATACTTATATACTGGTAGAAG